AATTATCAAAATTACTGTACTTCATTTCAAAAGGTCCAAAACCATCACGCAATTATTTTCATTCTATTGGTTGTATTAAAACATTAATACAGGACTTTTGTACACAGTAATTGTGTCTCATCACCTCCATTTCCACTCTATCATTATAAAGATTGAGCTTCAGATCTGAAAATTAGAAATCAGACATTTTAGGTTAAAATGAGCACCATATCTGAGAACTCGACCTAAATGATGAATAGTCTCGGCGCTGCTGCTATAAGCACTTACCTAAAGGTCCATGTCCTTAACCAGCATTGGATTTTAGAATTTGGAAACTTTTTTGTTTCCAGATGGAAGCATCTGCCACCAATGCATACACATTTTGTTCTGTTCAAGGATTAAGAAATGCTAGACAATAGTAACTGTCAGCAAGTTATGCATCTTTCTCTAATTAAATATTGTAACTATATAAGTGAGCAAACCATGCAGGGCACAATAAAAAATGTTTTTCTGAATATCTGCACTCAGCACTGACGAATCAAATTGAAAATGTACTGAATATTATCTTTATAGGAGCCAGGTTTTAGATTGCTATGTCCAGCCTAAATACCACAGGAATGCTTTCTGGATATTGTAAGGAGGTACTGTGTGGAGAAGGAATAGTTCTGCTTGAAGATTGCAAAGGCACTGCACAGAAAGGGAAATCGGTGATGTGGCATAGAAGGTGCTGTTTTCTTTACTGTCACAACCAATTGGAAACAGTTTGACTCTTGCAGATGTTTTTAAAAACGAGGACAATAACTTTTCTGTACTGCACTTCAAGGAATCCAGTGCCCAGGATAATAAGATAACAGCGGATGGGTTCATTAGATGTTTCCATATGACTCAGATACATATTCTGGTGTAGCCAACCAAAGAAAATCAGATCATATTATGAACCTTCTACCTGCTAAGAAAGTTGAGGAAATGTGGATGATAATGAAAATGTTAGATAAATAATAAAATGCAAGAATGCCAAAACAAGGTGAGCTTTGAGTGATGATTGCACAAGCTAGGATTCTTCAGTCTTGAAGAGATGTCTCAGAGGAGGCCTTTGAGAACTATACAAGATACAAAAAACTTAGAACAATGCATTTGAATGCAGAACAAGAGATTACAGGTTTAGGTTTGCAAAGTACAATTTCAGAACAGACTGCAGCAGAGAGGATTTGTTTCCCCTGAGGATAATTGACAACTGGAACAAGTTAATCATAAGGATTGTTATGGCCAGGATGGTGGAATCATTTAAAAAGACAGCTCGAATCTGTGATGGAAAGAATGGTAGGGTGGGTATTCTGGAGGGAAAAGAACAAGGGCTTTCTTCATTTAAACCTATCGAGAACTTGTGAAATTTGTTGGGGGTGGAGTTCTGGTTGAAGGAAATGATAACAGTGGATGAGATGAGAGATAAACTGACAAAAGAAACTAATGGTAACTGAGCTCAGTGGAAAGGCTATTGAATTGGAATCAGTAAAGGACATGGATGTCATAGAAGAAAGCAATTTTGTATGTCTTGCAGCAGTGGTTTAAACAACCTTTACACAGCCATATGATTGATACTGTTTGGGCTATAACTTAAGGCAAGAAAGGTGACTAGGCCAACTGAGCCGGCTGAGTTAGTGAGAGATGGAGAGGTAAGTGATGTTTGAGGAAGTAGAACAGACATTAAGGCAGATAAAAAGAACCTTGGGCAGGTGAAGAATAACCAATTTTTGGTTGAGAGGAAAGTTGAAGAGCTTCAGTATGTTGTTCCATTAGTTGGGAGAACAGGAAACATTACTGTACCTCTGGGTTGGAAACTGGCCATTTCTTTACATAAGAGAGGAACAAGGAATTCCAGAGCCAGTAGGCTGGGCAACGTAAGATAGTATGGTTATTCATGAAATATGTGTATTGAGGCAGTTACTGGAGTTTTGCAGAGAGAATAAATAGTGGCAGGATCCAGCTAACTATTGAAGAAAGTTCATGTTCTTAAGAATGCCTCCTCCTCTCATTTTGACAATGGAATCCTATTGGTGTGGCTTTGAGATTCAGTATTGTACTTTGCCATTATGTTTCATACATTTGATCAAAGATAGACAGACTGTCCTTTGAGCGTGCAAAATGATCAGAAAGGAATATTCTTTGTAAGCATGTTTCAGGATATTTTGATGGTGTGGGTATATCTGAGGATTGAACTTGGTTGTTACGTCATAAATACAGTTTAAGTTAAACCCTGTGACATGAAATCCATGTCTCGACGTGAAAGGCACTATATCAAATGCAGGTATTATTATGAAAAAATAGCTTGCTGATATTTGCGGTCTAGGCTTACGCATGAAGATTGGCCACCAGCAGCATTCGTTTCCTGTGCAGCTATACACTAACACACCTCAGCCTATTTGGTAAAAGAGGTGAGTGAAATAATTGGGAGAGGAATAAGAAATAAATACTGTTCCTTTTGAAGCACTTAATTCGTTAGTTGTGAAGGAACAGGTGACAAGATAAACAGGTTGTGTAGGTTTTATTTTGCACCCAAATTAGTAATTTTGGTTAGATCCAGGTGGATTGTGGTGCAAATACCAATCCTAAATTTTGCTGCTAATGTTTAATGTGTTTAAATAATTGTAAAAGCTGTGTTGCTGTCTTAATACCAAAGTTGCTCATTCAATTAAGAGCGTGTTCTCCCTAATAAAAACTCCTGATGTAAGTGTACCTTTAAATGAGTTACAGTGGAACCTGTGCATTCCACTTAAGTTCTTATAGGTTCATATTAAGAATGGCTTTTGATGATCCTAGTGAAGAGGCTTTTAGGCTTTGTCACTCTTTCCACATTCAGCATATGCCTTAGAAGATTGCAAGAGCATGTGTAATTAATTATTCATTCCAGTTGCTCTGTAGCAAATCGTTGCTGTTCTGAGAAAACTAACTGCAGAACTCGGATATTTAAATTAGACCTCAAACACGAGTAGATTTTATCACTTCAGTACCCATTCATTCATTCACCTAAATTGTTACAGTTAAACCTCTACGTATATCTATTTTATAGTTCAAAGTAGTTAATATTTACTACTACAAACCAGTTGAAGTACAATATTAATTCATCCAAAGTAATTATTTCTCAGTGTAGCCTGAAAGAGAATTGTATTGATCAGCCAGCAGTGATATTTGGGTTTGCAGTGCACCAATTTTTCAGGTGGATACGATCTTGCCTCTGAATCTTTGCAGCCGAGAGGAAAAGGGTTATTGTACAATAAATAACATATAACTGAGTGATCTGAATTTTTCACAATAACTCCTGAGTACAATTTGTAGTTTTTTTTTAAAAGAAGCTTTTGACTGGGTAAATGTTCAATATTGTTTTTAAAAAGCTTTTTTTTGAGTTGCAAATTTTTTATAATAAAGTATTATGATTCAAAGGTAAAAGGTGTGTTTTAAACCACTTGCAAGTTGTTGGAAGTTAAATCCAAATGATTGTCTTTTCAAAACCTGAAAACGTCCCCTATTTCTATGCAACGCTGTTTCATTTAAGTGTATTTTGAAAAAGGGAATTTTTTGCTTCTAAGTGTGTAGTTTCCAATCCAATTACATTTCTAATCTGTTAATGGTATTGAGTTTTAGAGTGTAAATAATATGCTTAAGGAGTGTTAGTTTGTTAACATAGGAAAAAAAACTTTGGGAAAAAAAACACATTTTGTTATCCTATACTTGAGTTGTACACATCCACCTGTCTATATAAAAGTAGAAATGGAGTATGCAGTTTGTTCTTGAGGATTATCCATTCCAATACTGTAATTAGTGTGCAGCTTTTTTACATTGTTTGTCCATGAATCATTTTGCTTTAGTGCTGGAATGAGTTATTTTATTTACATGAGTCATTAGGCATTACCAGCTGGATGTCACTCATTTGGGGTTTTCTTTGATTTGATTTTCAGTTTTGCTGATTTTTTTTTAAAAAAGCCTACAGTTGAATCTTTCGTAGAACTGCAGGAATGGAATGTCCATGTTTTATTCTGCTGCAGGGGAGAGCGGGTCTGTGGTCACATCAAATTAATGCTCTAATTTTGAGGTACTCATACTAGAGGTCACAAGGACCTGATTCCTAGCTGACATGGAAGAAGCAGATCATGTGTAGAAATTGCATGTTTTTTCCTCCAATTTTTTCATCTCTTAAAAATAACGTCTTGAAAACAAGTGTGTTATTCTATTGTTTTAAAGACTGCCAAGAGAATGCAAAAGTTTACACCCTGTTGCCACCTTTTCCGGAAACATTCATCTAAAATCAACATAAAGGAAAACATTTTGAACTCGTGATCAATCTGTATAGATTGTACACCTGCAAAAGGTCTTAACATAATTAGGATATGTTTTTCCTGTGCAAAACTAATATGGTCAAACATGGAAATTTGAAAATAAGCTTGTAAAAAGAAAACTATCATCTAAAATATCAGGGAGTTCTGATCAACCTCATTCTAGCCATTTCTGCTGGTCTGTAGGTCAGGTCAAATGAATAATTAATTTATTATCACCTTAATTGTAGGAATGCCTTAAAGTGCTTCACAGGATTTACTGTAAATTGTAGTTTACAGTATAAATAGACTACTATTTGTACTACTATTTGTAGTCAAACATAGCAGCCGGTTTGAGAACGGCAGAATCCCACAAACAGCCATGAACTGAGTGACCATTTTTATCTGAAGGATTGTTGGCTAAGGCCCTGGAAGAAACTCCCTTCTCTTTTCAAATGGGATCATTAATATCCCAATGGGCTATTGGATAAATATTACCTCCAGTAATCTGAAAATGTAAAGTTAAGTAATTTCTCAAGCTGTGAAGTGCAGTAAATTTGACCTGTTTGTGAACTGGAATCCCCTATTGACAAGCTTCATCTGAGCCACAGTTATCAGCATGAGTATTTTCTTATCATTTATATTGGATTTTTAATGCAGTTAGTGCTCTGTCAATCTAAAATCGTTAATTTTCCTGCTTTCATTTTTTTGCAGCATTCATCAACCAATGGCACCAAGAATCAAAGGACAAAGTGATAATGCTGTTGCTGACCCATCTCCCATTGCTGAAGCCAGGAAACATTGATGCAAAAATGGAGTACATGAAACTCTTACCTAAAATTTTGGCTCATTCAATTGAGAACAATCAACACATAGAAGAGAGTAGACAACTTTTATCCTATGCTTTGATCCATCCTGCCACCTCACTAGAAGACCGAAATGCATTAGCCATGTGGCTCAACCACTTAGAAGATCGCACGTCTGGTTATGGAGGCCAGAGCAGAGGACGTCCAGACTCGATGGATTATGGGCAGACTCTCTATCACCAAAGACAAAACTCTGATGACAAGCTCAATGGATGGCAAAATCTTCGGGATTCTGGTATCTGTGTGTCTGCTTCTAATTGGCCAGACAAGAACCCGGCTTGTGAGAATGGACATTTGCCACTTTATTCTTCCGTATCTGTACCCACAACTATCAATACTATTGGGACTAGCACAACCACAAGTAAGTATTAAACAAATGTTTTGTGAGTATATGTTTAGGAAACGTTTATTGTTCACTGTAGTTGCTTGTGATATTCAGTGGAGGAAAAGTACTTAAATGTATAACTGGTCACACCAGGCATTTCTGCTGTAGTTTTCAGAGGTGGATCAATATTCTGTTTTTGGTAATTTAATATACATGAACAAACTATCCTAGAAAACACTATTGCTGTTTGATTGGGTTCCAATACCATATTCCTGCAGTTCTGTACCTTACATTGTGCACTAAGAATACACTTCTTGCATTCTTTTAGTTTTTCCTATTGATACAGTGACTTATGAGTCAAGTCCTTTAGATCAGCTACATGGACACGATGGAAAAATCATTAAATTATACCAAATTGAGGTTATTCCGAGAGGAAAAACTGAAAAAATGGTGTGATACTAGTTTAATGGAAAAGTCATGTCTATGCATCCACTTGCACTTTATGATTTCTTCCATTTACAGGAAATTTAGGTCAACAGAGAAAACCGAAGTGATGAATTGAAATGGCCTGTAGCACTCAAGTAAATAATCACCAGACCTTTTCTGAAATTTAAGAAAACCCTGTAACTAATACTTAAACTCAGAATTCAAAGAAGCCTTATTACAGATAAATTGCCTTGATTTTTAAGATGCATCATGCTGAACTCAAATCCCTGTTGTCATTTTGTACAGAAACTGCTTGTATTCCTATCCAAAACTTTTGCTGGATGAGTGCAAATGTAAGCTCTTGCATGGCTAGAATAATCTCACCATTGAAATGCTGTAAATGTCTTAGGTCCTGTAAAGAGTAACTTAGACTGTGACCTGAGTTCTGGCCTATTCTTCAAGGGAGATTTGTATTTTGGCAGTAATGTAGGAGCTTAGCACTGCCCAGACAATTGGGGAAATAGAAAAAGCATTTCCGCTTGAAGCACAGCAGTGTCAGTTCTTGCTGTAAGTACATCAGAATTAAAACATGTAGAAATGTATAATGTTTGAGACCTTTATTAAACGGGTACAGGCTATGTCAGCTGTTCCACTGAAATCCTGGAATCTGTTTCAAAGCTATCAGTTTCAGTTTAGTCCCTTCTCTGGTTTGTACTGAATTGTTTGATCTCAAATGGAGTACTCCAAATGACCTCACTTTAAGTTGGAGGGAAAAATCAGCCCGGGTTCTTGGCCTTAATTCCTATCGAGCGGTCCCACAAATGGGTTTATGTGGACGTCAGTTGAAGACTAGTTTGGCTGTGAAGTTTTCTATTCTCGTCTCCCATCTCTTTCCTTCAGATTTCCTTTTGCAGTCTTGCCAATTTCTTGAATTTTTGTGCTTCTGGCATCTAAGATTGTATAAGTACACTCACCGACTGTTAACTCGGTGTACTGTATTCTTCAAGAGGTCAGTTCAAACCATTACCAGAATGGCTTTGGGTTTTTGTTTGAGATCAGTTATTCAGAATTTCTAAAATGAAGCTGGACTAGCTTGTTTATGCCAATCACGCTTGCGAGCAGGAATGGGGTTGGGGAGATGAAAAAATACTCCTGGATCTGAAGGCTACAGTTGGTACATCAGTATACCTGTATAATCTAGGCTTGTGTGAAAAATAGGCACGAGAATGAACAGCACAGCACGTCACTTAATTTTGTTGCTGATTTGTGTTTTAACCCACCATTTTTCAAGCATGTAACTATTGAACTTTTGATGCATTTTGATTAATTGAAAATCTGGTGTGACTGATCATTTAAAAATATTTTGCTTTTTGGCTGCTGTGTTTTGTGTCTTAAGAACTTGGTTATGATTTACTAGTGTAGAAATAAATTTTAGCATTTTAAAAAAAAGCATATTGTTGAGTCAGGGTTTGAATTTTTTTTCCTAAGCAGCTGTAATGTAACCCCTCATTTCACAAGCCTTAGTTCAATTACCGTTTATTTTGAGATGTGCTGTTAAATTTAGTAAAAATGCATTCTGTGGAAATTGTTTCAGTGAATATTCATACAGAAATGTTGTTAGTGAGACCAAATTTGAAGCGAAGTCTAAATTCAATAGTTAGTCCACTGAACTAAACTGTTCTTGTACTAAGGGTGGTTTGAGGTTAGCCATCGTAGATAGGTATCTCACCAAAAACTGAAATGCTGCTTTTAGTAACATTCTTATTATATTTTAAGCTGAATTCTTTACAGTTGGATCACATTATTTTTAGATAATGTACATATTTTTGCTCTCTGGGATAAAAGTGTTAACTTGTTTGCCACTGCAATTATCACTGGAGGTTAGTACAGATTTCATTGTTGGCTTTGAGGCCATAGAGAGAGTTGAGCAAAATTTTAAATTTGATAAATCATATTTCATGCTGGGAGGACATCTCAAGCACTTCAGAGATTACTGTGGGGTGTAGTGACAGTATATTTTGCAGTGAATGCAGCAGCTGATTTAAGCATAGCAATGTCCTACAAACAGTTATGTAGAGAACGACCAATTTTATACACAGGCTTGTTTGTTGGTCAGGATATTGCGAGAAACTCCCTTTTCAAATAATGCCAAGGGATCTTTGCATTGTGGGGAGCAGTTTTCATCATTAATCAAAAATCCTTAACCAGCAAATCAAAATGGAAATGTTTTAGGTTGTAATTTGGTTCCAATTTGTTGAATTATTGTGTTGATCTTGCAAAAATCTAATGTAGTATTAATCCTGAAATATGCTATTTATTTTTGATGCACTATTTATAGTTGTATTTGTGTTGGTTTTGAGGCTGGTTTAAGACATGGTTGTTGGAAAGTGGATTCCTGTCATGCAGTGTGTTTTATCAATGACAATATTTCTAAGTAGCCAGATAAGGCTTGAATATATTGGGGATGACTCTGATTACTATCTATGTAAGGAGCATAACTGGGACTGAGTAACTATTGCCATATCAGGACATTGGCATCAATGTGTGTGTGTGTGTATCGTAATTGGAAAGATGAAGGTTTAACTTTATTATTGCAATTGAAAGTATTATTCTCTTTTGGGGGAATAGCATTATGATGCAGCTGATTACAATTGGCCAAAATTAGCATTTTTGTTCATTGTAAATAAAATCTGTGGATATGTAATAGTTTCATTCTTGCTCTGGCATTTCTGGAGACCAGGCGAGCTGGAGTATACCAATGCATCTGTTTGTACTGGTACTAAGCTTTTAACTGCATTTTTGCAGTTTTTGCTGTCTAAAGATAATGAAATGTATTGTATACTGTTTCTAGAAGCAAAGCAGCAATACTCAATATTGTGTATTTGACTTGTGGGAGGAAAAAAGGAAAGCTTAATGTGCAAGAGTAGATTTGAAGTTGAAATAGCAATACTGAGAAAGTAGGTCAAATTAATAATATTTTATGTCACATAACTTATGTAGATCAGAAATTCTTTGTTTCTTGAAATCAAAGTGCTGAATGAAGCAGTGGTCTGAATCTGGCAGACTGAAAAATAGGAGCACTTCCGGTGCCATTCGTACCAGTATTGAGAAAAAGAACAAAATAAAATGATCAACAAAACCATCTCTGTTCCTCTGCCAAAATATCTTCCTTTGTGAAATAGCAGCTTTGCTTGACCAATGAATGCTCCTTTACAAGAACTCATGCCACAGTAGCTGTACAATGGTGAGCAAAGCTTACATTTACTTTAAAATATCTTTCTCCAAGACTGACATGCTGGAAACTAATACACATTTTTATTTAGAAGCTTTAATGTTTCTCGTGAAAAGCTGTTGGAGGTGTTGATGTTTTGGTGAAAATTTCTAGGTGGGGAGAATACAAAGGAGCTAAGTTAGAGGCCAACAGTCTTTCAGTGAACAGTTAATTATTTTTTTAGAACTCTAGGCCATAAACATGCATTTATTGAATAAACATGTATTTAACACTAAAATTACAGATTCACAGTTGTAAACTGAACAGGTTTTAAGCAGGTTCAGATGAAGACTGTCGATTGACCTCATTCTCTTAAATAGAGTGAGCCCCAGTGTCTTTCCCATCACTGAAGCAAGTACGAATTGCCATTTGCAATCCTAACCCAAACCTTCAATAAATGTAAGAATTTCACTAATGGTTGTTTATGTAATACTAATAATAATCCTTGCATTTGACATAGCACCTAATTGTGTCTTTGAGACGTCCCAAACCACTTCACAGAATATACTGTAAAGTGAATTGACTGTATATTCTGTGTGCCAGTAACCATGGAAGTGGTCCATAGTGCACTACCAATGTAAGTGATCAGATATGCATTATCTGAGCACTGAACACAACATGAATGACTTTTGTAACAAATGCGTATTCTTACTGGAACCTGCAGGCAAGAAATTGTTCAGGTATGTAAAGTATGTTTAAATCTACAGAGCACGGACAATGTTTATAATAAGTATACCAAAGAATCATTGTATTATATTTAGTTCAAATAGCAGATCATGGCATTCAGGCAGAATGCATTTCTCAACTTTCACACTGATGAAATACACACGAGTAACATCGAAACAGAGCAGCTTAATCATTTGAGTGTAGCTAAAGTATAACTTTTTTAAAAATAGTTCTTTCAATATTTGAATTTGTGCATGTTCTGCTTGCAAGAAAGTACATGGTGTTTTAGGTTTGTTGGTATGGGCGTGCATATGTTAGCACAGTGTGCTTAAATTGGCATGAATAGCAGCAATGTGTATTGAAATGTTTGCTTTGTATAGGGTGGCATATTTGGCGCAACTGATATCCAAGTCTAGTTCTTTCCTGTTTTTAAGGATCTTGGAGTAAACTTGAATCGTAAAAGAATTTGAATGGCTGCTGATACTTGCATAAACTTGAACTAAAGTAGCAATTTCACATAGGTTGCATAGTCATGGTGGGTTTATTGGTAGGTGGTTGCTTGTTATGCTTCATAGTTTATCATGAGTTAAGTTTGGTGAATAACCTGCTCTGTTAATATAATGCTGCGGTACAGCAGAAAGCCATTTCACAAAAGCAGAAGCATTTGACTGATTAGGGATATTCTGCACCAAGCACAACGAAGACGTTTTAGTTTTCACTTCCAAATCGCAAATAGGAGTTTGCAGTTTGGCAGTTTGTATTACTGGATAACTCACTAACTACAGAGGGATCTCGCTGATTTCAGTGGATCTTAAAGTAGTGCTTAGTGTAGTCACTGCATGTATGGATGTGAGCTCCTGGGGATGCAGCGAAGAGGCTTTCTTTGACCCATCTGTAAAGTCCAGGATCAAGCAGTGAGGTGGATTTGTGGCAAACACAGGAAGCAACTACAGGGAGGGAGGGCTCTGCTCTACACTGACCTGTCTCTAAGCATCCTGGAGGTGGAGGTGACTTCACAGCGGGCACATCTATTTGCCAAGGCCCCTCACACGAGGAACTGGATTGAGCAACTGGTTCTGAGTAAGGCTGGTACGCAGCATTGAACTTGGACCTCAAGAACATCAAGGTGGTTGGCATGTCACAAGCTGTCCTGTAAAGGTCTGTCCCATGCTGAGGGCAGGTGCCTGCCAGAGAGCTGATGAAGAAACTCTGAAGCTTGGAGCGACAGCTGCTGGAAGGCGTTACCTGGTGTTTGTGAGCACACGTTCATACGTCCAGTGCCTGGAATTCACCGTGATTGGCCTGCAGAGAGGCAAGCACCTGCTGCTTAACTCCGCACCTCCAACTGGTGGAACCATCGCACGATGGGAAGGGATGTGTGCACAAGCTCAAACAGGAAGGGCCACTGAATTCAGGGAGATCCCTTTGTAGTTAGTGAGTCACCCAGTAGTACAAATGCTCTCACGCATTTCATGCTGAGATGCATTGCCCAACGGGAAGCTCGTAGGGAATTCCTTGTACATACCATCCATCTAGTGAGGGCTCAAACCTGTGCTTCTCAGATGTTGAACGACCAACTAATGACTTTCCTCCGGGGGTGGGAGGGGAGGTAAGTGGGGTCTCCTTAGAGCTGAACTGGCTCTAAGGTGACATGCCTGGCACTGGAATGTTGGAATCGAGCCAGACCTCTTTGGTAGTCCCGTTCCTGAGCCAAGCGTGTCTATGGTATTCTTGGGCACAATTGATGACAGCACAACCAGTCTGACTTATCGGTAGGACCTGGAAAGTTAGACCAATCACTGGGGGTAGGGCTTCATTCCACTTGGCTCCTATTAACCCTGCAAGCCCTAATGGATAAGGGGTGGTCCTAGCTGGACAAACAGGGAGAAAACTTGCTGGGCAGCAATATCAATGGCAAGCTATGCAATTTTAGATGGTTAGACCCCAGCAGTACACCAACGCATACTCTGGGGTCACCAAGCCTTGGCTCTTGCCAACCTGCACCTATTACTTTCCGAAATTAGGTAAACAGGATGCGTCCCTCCAGGGAAAGTGCACATTCCATTCCAACAATCGATCTCTGGGATTTCCATGTATAGGGTGGGATGCATGGAAATCTCAGCTTGGTTTGGATACCCTTAAGAACGGTGATGGGTTTCCACATGTGTCAAAGCACATGGCTGGCACTCACCCCCCCCCTCCACCCCATCTCCAACTCTACTTTGCGCCAATGCTTACTTTGAATTACAGGAGTAACTTGTACATCCCACTCTTGTTGAATATCACTGTTTTCTGATTGAAACACCAAAGAGCTTAAACTAGAGGATTCAATTGCAATCAACAGTAGTAGATTAATAAGCAAACTGAAGTAATTTTATCTTGATTTCCCTTTGTCCACACAGTTTTGTGCTCTTAAATGACAAGGGGGGAGGGGCGCTGATCTATAGTACAACTTGTTCACCAATCTAGCATGCCCTTGATTCTGAATACCATAGACTTGTTCTAAGCTTTTGGCTCAATGTACGAGACTACAATATTTTGCATAGAAATACTACTGGCATGAATCTTAAATCTTTGTGTACAAACTAGTTATTTAAAAAATGTGGAAATTATAATCGAATAACATTTTGGCATTTATTTTGTACATCATTTTTATTTGGTCTGCTTGTTTTTGCTGCTTTGCACAATTGAATACAAATATTTACTGTGTGGTTTAATGCAACAACTTGATCCATGTAATCAATTTACTAACTCCAGTAGATAAATAATTCATTATAAGTAGCAGTTTGTAAATAACTAAAATGTTGTCTTAATTTCAGCATGGGATCTGTTGAGTTGAATCTCTACATTATACAATGGCTAGAGAAGAATAACTCTGTCTAGTTGGAACAAACCTCTTTGGTCCCATTTAGGGATGTTCACTTAGGTGCTTGCATACTGATGTTCAGGGTTAGCTGTGTATTCTGTGTTCCTGACTGGTCTTGTATTGTACAAGTGGGTAATTGAGAAAAGAAATCATGAGACTCTGTTAATTATCATATTTCATTGATAATTTCTGAAACATTTATAGCGCCAGCAACCATGGAAGTGTACTGTAGTGTTCTCTTTGTGCAGTACCAATCCTAAAGCAAATGCTTTGTGTTGCTGGGCATTAAACTTATTCATTTGTGCATGCAGTAGGGTTAGAAGGTAAGTGAAAATGTGTACATGCATGACAGTTTTGTGTTTAGAACAAACTAATGACTCACATCAAAATTGAATTTATGTTTATTGTAAACTTAATGTAAAATATATTCCCATAAGAGCAAGGGTCATGCGAGGAAAAATAGACCTGCAAGTGTGTTTAAGTGCATGTTTTAGCTGTTTGACACATCTTCCTGTATTTAAATAGTATCTAATTGTTTTGAATTTACCCGTGTACATTGTTTATTTACCCGTGTTCAGTAAAGATCTTTAGCTGACTTGTATTGCAAATGATACTGTTGTGTCCAAGTTTATGCAGTAACATTTTTTCCATTATGCTTTAACAAAAAAATCCATATTCTTCTGAATCTTCCAGTTGAGTTATCCCTCTTTTGCTCTGTTCCCCAGCTCCACTATTCAAAAAAAAATACAACTCATTCAGATCTCTGCTGCCTGCAGTCTCACCTGGATCAAACTCTGTACCCCCACCTCACCAGTTCCAGCCAGGCTCCACTGGCTCCCCGTCACTGAATGGATCGACTTCAAGATCCGCACACTCGAGTTCAAATCGCTTCACTCCCTGGCACTTCCCTACCTCTCCAACTTCCTCACTCCCCAATCTACCACCCAGCACCTCCACTCGACTGGCACCAGCCTCCTGCTTGTCCCTCGCATCCTCCTCTCCACTATTGGAGGTCACGGTTTCAGCCACTACGCCCTGAAACTTTGGAACACTCTCCCTCAATCCCTCCACCTTGCCCCCTCGCTCCCCTTTTTCATTCCCACCTTAAAACCTTCCTTTTTGAACTGCTAACGGTCACCTCCCCCACCCCAGCTTGGAGTCCGGCTCCGCCATTGTTAAACGCTCTGAGATGCTGCCATGGGTGGAGGGCGCTATCTAAGTGCAAGTTGCTACTGTTCTGATTAAAGCACTTAACGTATAAAACAGCAAACGCCTATATACCATAAGTAAATAGTAAAGGTTCCCAGATAGTTTTCTTACCTCCTTCCTCTTCATTCCTCTCGTAGAGTAAGTTTGTAACATTTCCAGCTCAAACGTTTCCCATACATGATATTTACCGATTGTCAATCAATGTGTATATCCAACACCATCCTTATTTTCATATTCCTTGACTGCTTATCAAAAGCATTAATAGCCCTTGGGGAAAATGTTTTCAAATACTTTCTGAAAATTCTATTCATTTAATGTTGACTGCACTTCCCTTATCCACCTACTAATATCTTGGAGAGATACAAATAGATGAGTTGAGACTTGACATCCGTTTCCTGCAATAATTCTGACTGTCTTTCAAAACATTGTTCTTCCAGTTAACCTACAAATCACTTGGTTGTTTCTCAATGTTTTCTTTCAGCTGATTTTAAATTTACAGATTTACATTAATGTATTTGACGTAGAATTGCGTTACCAAGTCATAATCCTCAGTAATCTCTCTAAATGGAGTAGACTTCTAGGAATGCACTTAAGGCTTCAGTTTTTTCGTTACTTGTTAAATTTTGAAAGTTTTGGGAAGGAAATAAATGATTTTATTCTGATCACTGATGTCGCTCAGTAAAATCTTCTTACTTGACAATTAATAGTAGTATTTCAACAGCCAATCATATTTGATCTAAGGGTAAACAAATTAAGTAAATTCTGGATGTGTGAATGGTACCAATATATTTTAACCCATATTAACATTGTTCAGTAGCGTTAAGTGCACCTATAAGCTAAAGACAAAGTTTATGTACTGTAGTTCCATTTGCCAATGACTGAACCATTGTTTTGAGTAATAATGTCACAGATGTTTTTGTTAGTTTCCACAGGTGAGGGAGGCATTAATCTACCCATTTCTAATGTCGTGTGTAACTTTCCAATAAAATTATAATCTTAGGTGAGCAGAAATCCTCATATCCTGACCTACTATCGATGAGTGAGTTTACAGGCATATAAATTTAATAAAGGGAATATATGTGTTTAAGCCTCGTATTTAGTAGGATTATGGCTTTTGGACCTTGTTGCTTAATCGCTTTCAATAACTATTTTATATTGCAATATGTTTTCTAGTTCTCTCAGGCCAGACACACCACAGTCCTCTGAAGCGTTCAGTGTCTCTTACCCCACCAATCAATGTGCCAAATCAGCCTCTAGGTCATGGATGGATGTCCCATGAAGACCTGCGAGGAAGGGGGCCTCAATGTATCCCATCAGACCATGCTCCCCTTTCCCCACAGAGCAGTGTTGCTTCCTCGGGTAGTGGTGGGAGTGAGCATCTTGAAGATCAACCAGTGTCCCGTAACACATTCCAAGAAGAGGGCAGTGGCATGAAAGGTGGGTAATTATTAGAATGGTATTCACTAGTTTAAAGGAAATTAAAATGCAAAGCAACTAGTGTAGTGGATAGTGAGGATATCTGGTTACTCTATATTGTAACCTTACTGATGATTTGATGGGCACAAATACTATGAGCCTGTGCTACTATGCTTTTCATCATTAACTTCTTAATGACCTGTATTCTGTTTTTTTTAAAAACTAAAATCTAGTTTTAGATTTATTTTCAGGAATATAAATTTATATTCCAGAAACAAAATCATTTTGTTTCCTGAAATTCATCAGCACTTCAGCTTAATCAAAATTTTAAATTTAGTGTTTTGAATAAAATCCAGAATGGATTATGTGGCAATGGAGAAGATTAGTAATTGATTTTGTACTCTGTTCCTAATGATACTGATTCTCCATTCTTACTGATATGCAGCAGCACGTGCTGTATTATTTGTTCCTATCAGTTGTAGAACAAAGGGAAGCTGTTTTAATTTGTCAGAGAGTCTGTATTGATGTCCAACTACAGAGGAGTGGGAGAGAGGAAATTGCATGCTTAACTGCTCAGAAAGAACATTGCAAAATAAGCAGGTGAAATATACAAAACATTTATGATAACCTATGGAAAATCAATAGGACACTCCGAATCCCAGTATTTTACTACCCTATGTTGTTTAAAGTCCTCCCAATAGCATGTAATAACGTGTTATTAATATGTGATGTTGGCTTATTGTGACATAAATATTTGTTGCAGACTATTTGGAATTTTTTTGATATTGAATAGTAAATTAGCATTGAATACCTGCAGACTGGCATAAGGAAATGCTGCATATGTGCTAAATTTCCCCCAAACCAAGCATTCTACTCAATCTGTTGCCATCGGAAAGGCACGACTGAGAAACCTTGTTGAAAACAATCAATGTAAGGACCAATTTTCAAAGAAAAATCCCTGAGTGATTTATTTGTTGGTGTGTGTGTGTTTGCATGCGTGTGAAAGAGAAAACTGTTGCTTTGTCAGAAGTGGATTTCTCACCATGAAGCTCCATTTGAGAGTGAAGATTGTTTCATGAGATCTACTTGTTGCAATTAATTTTTATACTAAGCTGTATGTGAGAAAGAGGTATAAAGAACTCTCAATTTAGAAAGGAATTCCAGCCTGAAAAATCAAAGCTATTTTATGAGTATTGAGCTGTCCAAACAGTTAAAATACCATTTGCCTTTATCTTGATTCTATCTATTTATCTTGAATATTGTGCCATTATTGGGTACATTTTATTGTAAAGGTGATATTCATTTCATCTTTAAACATCAGATCTGTGTGGTAACTTCCACCATTTTTGAAGTTTCTTTTTTAGCAAACTGTCGTGAATTAACTTAAAGTCCAATGCATTGATGGATAATTATGGGGTAATTGTTAACTCCTTGGTTATTCCCGCAGCAGAGGTAATACACCTAGTGTATGTTCCATAAGGTTTGTGTATTATAATAATAATCCTTGCATTTGATATAGCGCTTTTCTCGTCTTCTAGACATCTCAAAGCGCTTCACAGAGTGAAGTGAATTGACTAATTGTCGGCGAAACATGGCAGCCAATTGTGCACAGCAGTGGCCCACAAACAGTGGATTGAAGTGACAAATTTTATTATTGTTTTTTTTTCTTGAGGGATTATTATTAGGCATGTGGAGTGAGGAAACTTGCCCAAGGTTCCTGAGCCTCAGGACTCCACATTGCAGTATTGCAGAATTTTAGTTATAAGAGGGCACTATTGACTACACGGATTTCTACTTGTTTGCCAAAAGTAAAAAGAAAATCAAGAAATACTACAGTTGAGTGAAATTATGTGTTCCTGGGAAATTCGTTGAGTTTACTTTGGGAATGGTGAGACGAAAATGCTTTGGTGAAGTGATTTGCAAATCCAACACTTTATTCCAATATTTTGAAATACAGCACAATTTACATTTATATAGTGCCTTTCACATCAGGAGGACATCTCAAAGCGCTTAGCACTGCTGGGTGGGAGCCGAAGGGAGTGGGGAGGGAAATATAATCAAACTTGCAGTCAAAGAAGTACGTATTGAGACGGACCTGAAATGTTTACAATGGCAGATGCTTATGTTTTGCATGGACTACTAAATGTGAGTTCTGTAATAGTTTTTGGAATGATAGTCATTTTAAGTCAAGTGGGTGCTTGTTTTTTACATAGGTCCAAGTGTAATAGATGGAAGCAAAAATTGAGAAGGTTGATGTTGAGTTGAGCCTATGAAAGATTTGTCACTAGACACGTTCAATGTAAAGACCAAGAGAGGTGGAAGGAAATGTTCTGTGGGCTGAGAAGAGGTTTGGCGTAACTGGAGTAGTGGCTAACATTGTGATTGCCACCGAAATTGAGGGCTGGATCAGGCATGTTGCCACTGTCTAAACCAGGACTGAAGCTGACGGAAACTGAAGCAACTTTAGATTGTTTGCCACTTTTTGATGACTGTTCTTTCAGCAATAATAAATTAATTCTGATTAAATCTCCAATTGGACCCAACCTTTATTCAATATATTTTGTGTGGAAACACTGTACAAGTGAAAGTCTAGTATCTGTTAAGCATTCAGTGTTGAATTGGTGATTTTAGCCACCAACTCAGAAGTGAGTTTTTCAACTACGATTTGCATTTATATAGCACACTTCATGCATCACTTCACTCTGAGATGTTCTAAGCACATCTCAGAGTGCTTTATGGTGGAATTAAGATTTAACAACCTTTTTTAAAAAAAATTACAACCAACATAATATTTTGCAATTTGTTTGCATTACTGAAATATGTTCTGTTATGTGGGGGACCAGGCTGAACATTGTTGTTGCTAGCTACATTGATCGTAGATTTCTTCTTAGCCATCAGTCCAGGCCAAGTTTCAGAGGAAAATTGTGGGATGAGAGCATACCAGTTCACATCAGGAGCTCTAACTGTTGCAAAACCTGACTATTAAAGAATTTGGAATGTAAATTTCTCATCTTCAATAACTGTTCTCAACAACAACTGGCACTTATGTAGCACTCTCCACCCAGGGTAGCATCTCAGAGTGCTTAAGCAATTACAACAATTACATTCATGCACGTAGTGTGAGAGATTCCCAAAACAGACAAGCTATATAAATAATGGGTGTGTAATGCTGAAGCAATTGAGTGAGAAGAGAAAATAACTAGTCAGCCACTAAACTTGGCAGAATGGTAGGTAGATTACATGCAAGAATACTTGCAGGTGATCTGTCTGAAATGCACACTGACTAACAACCAATGGTTAATTCTGTTGCAATGCCTTCTAAAGAGGACAAGGTGTCCTCACCGGGTCTGAGTAATTCAGACACAATGATGTTGCTTGACTTTTTTGTGTGTCAGAGATCAGATTATTTAGAGAGGAATATTTTCCATGTGTTTGCAACAGAAAATTTAAAGCAAACATGTATGTTTACAATAAGATATGTATGTAACAATATAATTGCAATCAAGTAACTTTGACTCAAAGTGAAGACTTCAAACAAAATGTGAGCAGTCTTAAAAACTGCAGACCTTTCTGTCACTCTCACTGTTATGCTACCATTATTGGAACCATGTCTATGTTTAGTTCATCTGACATCTAGCACCATGAGTAGTGAAATTGACACTGTAGTTAACACTGGATGAAACATTTCTTCATTCCTTGGTTAAAAAATATTGAAGGATGGTATGGACATTTGTAAAGAATTATGATGAATCAACAACAAGAATACATTTGTATAGCGCCTTTCAAGTCGAGAGGACGTCCCAAGGCGCTGGATGGACAATGTACAGCATTTCAGAATCGTACGTTTTCAAGATCTCATCATTGGGTGTTAAGAGGTGAACTCTCCAGTTGAAGTTGATTCATACATTAGGTCTGGAGAGTCAGAGTTCATATTCAAAAATTTAGCTTTGAGCAATGTAAATTTTTAATTGCTTAACCCTGAACAGTGAGTACCGGTTACTTGATCCAATTACGTTCTGTTCTTTGTGGACCAATTGGATTATTAAAGTCCCATAATGTGCAGTGTGGCATTAAAACTGAAAAAGACTGGCAAGAGGTTTGTGAGAAACGTTCATAGAGCCATTTTGGTTAAGGTTGCTTGAACATATTCAAGACTAAGATTGATAAATTTCTTGTGGATTAAGGGATAAGGCGGGTAGGTGGAGTTAGAATAGATCAGCCATGATCTTATTGAATGGCGGGGCAGGCTCGAGGGGCCGAATGGCCTACTCCTGCTCCTAATTCTTATGTTCCTATGTTGCGAAGAGTTATAGAAGAAATGTGGCTACATAGTTCAAACTGTATTTGGAGATTGTTGAGTGTCCAAATAATGCCAGCAGCACCCAGTTCAGACTGCCAGGCTAGAAAAAATGCACATTTTTGAATTGAATGAAGGTTTTCACCTTTGAGGTATTCATCCAACGTGAAACTGCTATGAGTGCAAGAAGTTGTTTGACCAGAAGCTTGAGGGTAAATTTTTTTTTCAAATAATGGTATGACACATTTAATGCAATATTGTCTATTTGAAATGATCTGCTCAAAAAAATCTTTTACATTGATATTCTAACTCTTCCTAGACCATTTGCACTAAATCCAATTCCTGTTTGGAACACAGTTGCATGTTTAGGTTCTGAATTCTGTACAGCCCTCTGTGCATATAACATTTTCTCTTTAGAAATATTTTTTCCTATACCATTCTTTTTACAAGGTGTCCCTGTGCAGTAGTTAATGGCAGAAATCCTAAGCAATGAATTTCTGCCATTAACCACTGCACAGAACAACTGAAAGAAGATGGAAACAGGGCAATAATGGGCACTATCAGCTATTTGATGGCTTATAAAACTGTCAAGTATAAACATTTTCCAAGCCAGCAACAAACGCTGCTGGTATTGGATAGCGCTGATTTTTATGTCCATTTAATTACCGAATTACTATTTTAGTTTTTTAATATAAAAGGCTCGTTAACAGGTACCTGGAAAAAA